CCTGTCCATCCCCACTCCCGGGTCCCTTCCTGCCTGGCTGCTCTCCAGCCACTCTGTCCCCAGCCTGTAGCGCTGCAGGGGGTTGTTGTGGCCAAATCTGTCGTAGGAAGCAAACATGTTGCCATATCACTGTCTTTCTAACTGCAAACTATAAGTAATTATCTGGTACTGCAGGTTATGTAATGTATTGGAATAGTTTATGGTGCTTTGCCAGGAAAAGAGGACAATAGGGTATGTGTATGTATGTAAAGTAAATGTGATTGAGTAAATGTCATGCCATTTATGGCTTTTCAGATATTTTCATACTTGGGATATCTGTCCTGTTTTTATGTGCAGGGCTGTGGAACTGCTGACTGTTTGAAGATTGTGTGTCAAGTTGGCCACCTGGAAAGGGGAAAGAGTGCAATATTGTATTTAAAATCACGCCTTTGGACCCAAACTTTCATGAATGTGAGTGACTGTGAATATTCTGTCCTTGTTTCTGAAACATTAAAAGTGACTTTTGTATCCACATGCAGTACTAATTTTGTTTTTCTCACACAGAAGGAGAATCAGAATCACTCCTACTCCCTCAAATCATCTGCTTCTTTTAGTGTTATCGAGTTCCCTTATAAGAACCTCTCCTTTGAAGATATCCACAACTCCACAGTTGTAAGTCATTTACATCCAGCTTGAGTTACTTAATCACTTAAAAACTAATACAAAGACAACTATTGTTGAGGAGCATTTTTGTGGCTTGCTCTAACTGTAATTTTACCAGCTATCTGAGTCATATATTCATTTCAGTTATACACATAAAACTGAGGGTAAAACTAGACTAGAGTTGACAATATTTGTATCTTGAAAGACTTAATTGAAAATGAAAAGAAATGATGGTGAACAATCCTAATGTTCTTGTTAATGCCATTGTTGTTAGAGAAATATTTTACCTGAAATTTGTTTTCTGCTATAGTAGCACTTAGAGCTTGAATAATGGACCTTTATTATATTTTATGAAGTATTATGTGAATGAGGAACAAAAAGAGCATCTGTGCCCCAGAGGGTTTCCAAGAGAAAGCAGACAGGGTGCAAACAGAAAGGAATATATAGGCCAGTTGTTTGGGCTGCCAGATTAAAAGTTTTTGGTAAGCACTGTAGCATTTAAAGGTCTGAAGAAAAAGGTTGAAAAGGACTGTGATGGATTTATTTTTGAATATGGTTCCTAATGTCTATTATTAACTGTTTTTTTTCTCTCATAAGCCTTGTGGAGTTGATATTTGTTTCAAAGAATACCACTTTTTAAGAAAAAAAAAAAAAAAACAAACAAAAAGCCCTGAATTATTTTTCTCTCACTCCCAAATATTTCCAGATTCCTACAGTTTTACTGAAAATCATCAAGCATTACAGAAGACACGTTGCCACGTTATCATGATGGCAAATTGCAAAACCAAACAAACCCCAACCCCCCGTTTTCATTTAATGTTAAAATCCTATTAAACTTGGGTCAGCAAAGGCTTTATGTCACCATTAATCTGTAGCTTTTTACTCACATTGGAGTGAAAAAGTAATTTATACTGGATTAAGATTATAATGTCTACAGGATCAAGATACACAAGACTTAAAGTGCATGAATGAGTTCAGCTTGTCATGGGGTGCAGAGTGTGATTTATTGTGTTTTTCTGTCAGGTTACTACAAATATTACCTGGGGCATTCAACCACAGCCTATGCCAGTGCCTGTGTGGGTTATAATTTTGGCTGTCCTGGCAGGGTTACTGCTCCTGGCTGTTCTAGTGTTTGTTATGTACAGGGTAAGTATTGTCTTTTTTTTTTTTCCCTACTAGTGATGTGTTATTTCTTAGAATGGCAGGGGTCTGCAGAGGTGCCTTGGTCCCCTAATCATCTGAACCAGTGAAGTTTTTGGATGACTAAAAGCTTTTCAGCTTCGTCAGGAAGAAGCTGAATAAAAGAGGATATGTCTGTGACTGTGCTGACTTATTTGGTTTAATTTTTCAGCTGATGTTTGCTGCCTTTGGAGGTCAAAAATGTGGAAAAAAGGAGTAGGAAATAAAAGTAATGTAATCAGTTAAGAGGGAAAGAGAAAGGAAGTGTATATTTGGCAAATCACAATGCAATTTCTTTATTCTCTTAATCACAGATGGGCTTTTTCAAACGTGTGAGGCCACCTCAGGAAGAACAAGAAAGAGAACAACTGCAACCACACGAGAATGGGGAAGGAACATCAGAAGCTTAAGCAGAGTTTTATCTGTGAGACATTCTGAAATTTCAAATTGCCTGCATCTTGGTAACAAATATTGGCTTCCCCATCAACAACAACAACAAAAAAAACACTCACAACTGCAGAGCTGCTGGTCTAAGCATCAGCACCTGCAAAATAAGAGCAATATATTTAAATCCTCCTTTTTGTATTAATTTCTGTTCATACCTGCAACTAATGCAGCTGCACTGAGTGGTGGGTGAGAAAAACTCACCTGCTGTGCAGTGCTTTGACTTTGCTTACTGGGATACAGGAGACATCATCTTTTTTGGTTCACGTACCGACTTTCCATGAATTTCTACATGGATTCTGCATTTGCTCTTGAAGCCAACAGTTTCTGTAGGTACTTGTTGCATTACATGTTTAGTTTCGGTTGATTTTTGTTGGAGTACACTACATTTCATTTTCTAGCTCTTCAAAGTTAGTTGCACAAAAAAAAAATGAATGTAGCTTGTTTTACAGAACTGAAGAATGTTCTTTGACCCGTTAACTCTGATGACAGTTTTTTCTCCTGCTCAAAAAAATATGAAATATTCAGTGGAATCATTCACATCTGATAGCTATTCTTGCTGCCCTGCCTGCTTAGTGATCTGTCTTGTGGTTTCCCTCTAGATTTTACAAATACTCTTCTCCCTGGCTTTCTGACTGTGGGGATTGAGCCTACAAACACAAAATGAGCAATAGGAAGCTGGGGCTGATGTCCTTTCTGTGGGACCTAGGGAAAAGATTCAGGGCAAGATCCGAAGACTCTGCTGTGTGTTTCCACAGAGCAGGATCCAGGTGTTGCACAGAATTCTTGGCAGCATAGACTCATTCATGTACTGCCAGGGACAAGATGTTGGATTGTGGCTGCCCACAGACATGCCTGAGGAAATCCATAGCCTGAATGTCCACAAGACAAACCTCCACAGGGTTTGAAATGAAATCTGTATATTACTTGGATTGAGTTTCAGTTTCTGGCAGTGGAGGGAATACCCTGTGACAGGTTACCTGATGCAGGAGCTGTTGTTCATTCTCACATTTTGTGGTTGGCCATGCCTGAGTGCAGGATGGAATAACACAGGGAATGTTTGAACCAGGCTACCTGCCAGCCACGTGGATCCTGGCCACACTCACACCTGCCTTGCCTCCTGCCCTGAGAGAACAGTGAGCTTGTCAAATGAGGCAAAGCAGAGCTGGCAACATGAAAGGATTTGAAAAGAGAAGGTTGATGTGGCTTATTTAATTTCACTCATTGTTTCATTGGCTTGTTTCATTTCACTCATTTATTGGATGTTCCACTGCACAAAAGACATTTCATTGCACAAGACATTTCATTATGTTCAGTACATTTCATTACCAGAAAAGACACTAAATATTTTGTTTCATTGTTGTTTCTTTAAACTTACCGAAGGTCAGTGGTTGAAAGCCACAGCCTTACATCATTCTTAGCCTATTTCCCTCACCACTGGTGTAGCAAAGTGAAGCTTCTTACACTTCTGAGAGAACACAATAGTATTGTCTGTGCTCTTCAGTAAACAAGTAACTACAAATTAGGAGGTGGTTCAGCTTGTAACCACAGGTAACTGTGTTGCACAGATCTTAGAGTGGATATAAACTGTTACGAAGGTGCCATCTATGATAAATTTATAATGTAATTTATTCCCCTTCTGGGAATAAATTACGTTATAAACTCCCTGTGTGCAACCCACATACACAAAGAAGTCTTCTACTGTATTTATACCACTGAGATTTCTATGTAGACAAGCTCTTAAAAGGACAAAAAATCTAGTTGGTTTGGTTTTGTACCTTGGGGTTTCAAAGCTGCTCCTCCCCCATAAATACTGCAAATCCTGCTAAACCCAGAATTCTCTGAAATGAACAGTTTGATTCAAGTCTTATTTCTGCATCCTTTCAGAGGTTTAAAATCCACAAATGGATTTTGTTGTTAAGTCCATTCTTACTCGTTGAACCACGATGGCATCTGAGCCCTTAAGGAAGACAGCACAAAGTCTGTGGGGGCCAGTAGGTACACCAGATATAGGCTTGCATATTTATCCATTTACATGGGTTTGTTTTAGACAGTTTGTTTAGATATGGTTACTTTATATGAAAGGCCATAGGGCATAATTTTGTTTTAACTGAATTTTCGAGGTCTTCAGTGTGGCCAAAAATGTTTTATTTCTTGCCTTTACTTTTAGTGTTGTTGTTACTAGTTCTGTAGTAAAGCATCAGGAGTGAGGCTTTAATCCTGGCCTCAAAATGTGTCTCTGATAGAACAGCATTTCACTTCCTTGTAGTTCACACACTTTGTCAACTGATTATCTGTGTGCAGGGAGATTGGTTTTGCCCAGTCTTAATCTTAGTAGGTTAAGAGGTTTAAGAGACTGGCAGACAGATTATAGCTCTAATTCTTACATGTGTGCTTTCATTACATGTACACACCACGTTGACTTGAAATTTATGAGACTACTTGCATGTCCAGGCGTTATAAGGTGATTAAGAAACTGTTTTAGAGAAGCACCATCAAGATCTCTCCAGCTCACGTGGAAGGGGTACTGCAGCATTGTTAATGCCAGTGCTAACTGCATCCTCATTTTACTGTGCAAACTGGAAACTCATTTTGCTGACTTTCAGGATAAAAAGGTACATTTTGTTGGTACAACTACTGTAGCTACAGAAAGTTTCTTCCTTTTTTGAAGTTACATAAAGTAGTACTTATTTAAGTGATTTTTTTTTTTATTTCCTGCATTCTGCTGGAGAGTAAAAGCAAATAGTTGCTTCTCCCACCTCCACTGATTTCCAGTTTGGTTAAAAAACTCACAGGAGCACAGGAGGGTACAGGTTACTTGGTGAACACAGATGTAAAACCTCAAATTCAGGTTAAAGTAACATTTGTGTTTCAGGGAGGTTCCGAACTGGAAGTTTGCCCGAGTGGGGATGCAGGAAACATTTGGCAGCAATAAGATTCCAGACTTTGTATGTCCTCGTGTCAGTATAAATTTCATACTGACTTCCAGGTGTCGATGTATTCTTATAGCAAATATTGTAGAACGATGGTAAATTTTTTAAAGAAATTTTTAGAAAATGTGTTTTGGAATGAAATTAATGTCTTTGAGTGAAAATTGATGTGCATAAGATGCATACTGGAAGCATTTTAAAAAAATACAAGTACAGAAACAGAGAATTAGCCTTCTTTTGAGAGTTCTGTTTCAGAAGCATATTTTTTATGAATATAAAATCAACAGCTATGTAATTATTTAGACAATAAAAACATTTTAAAAGAGCTATATCTTTTATAATGGAATATTAATTTATATAAGTACTCCAGTTTGCAATTATTGCAGCATCTCATGATCAGTGAAGTGATTTGTATTACAAAATGCATATTATCTATTACTATATCTGACAATATTTTGAAAATGTAAAGCAAGGAACCTAATTTATAGGTTTACATCTCTTTCGAGAAATGATGAAATTGTAGAGAAAGCTTTTTTTTTTTTTAAGTGTGACTGTAAAGTCAAGTATGGTCTATGTTTATCAATATAATTTGAAATCTTTGAGGAAACTTTTTGTATCAAGTTCATAATTTTATTTGTCCCATTTTTCTGTTTTAAATTTTGATTTACGTGTTGAACTTCGATTCGCATAGTGTTTGTGGAAACTTTAAGAAAGTTTATTACATGTGCTCTTTCTTTATAAAGCATTTATTCCAAGGCAATATTTTAAATATTTAATTGTTTCTAAACTGGCGTTAACACTTAAATAATCTTTAAGGTACCCTGTCACGGGTATATTGAGAATATTTTGGCCATAATCAGCATTCTCTTGGTTTTGAAGGATTCATGTTGCACTTATATTTTTGCAACATTTGACTTTGTTGGTGGTTACCCTGATGGTATTTTTTCCCTACACCCTCACAGTCACAGAGCAGTGAAAATTGGGTCAGGTTTTGTCCTTGGTCCAGACTAACATGATCCTTTGCATTCAACACTGCTGGCTGTTAACGAGGGGGAAAAAAAGGATTTTATAAGAGCAAAATGGAAATCCAAACAACGCAAAGGCAGTGGCAGACACCCCACATGAGCCTCACAGCAAAAAGGCTGTGGTTTGCCTGTCTGGGAGGTGGGAAGAACCCGTTGGTTCTCCGTTGGCAGTGGCCTCCTGGCAGGACCAAATGCCAGTTTGGATCACGATGATGTGCTGTGCTCGGATCTGGGTGCGATCGGAACTCTTTGGTACTGAATCTCTCCGTTCTAATTCCCACACGAGCAGCTCCAGTTGGCTGCCAGGTTGTTCATTTTTGTTTGCCTGCAAAGGGATGTGGCATTTGTTGGCCTACACTGTCAGTAAGGACAAACAAACCCGGTGTGTCCAACTGAGGTGAGGAATGAACAGAACAGGACGTTTTTGATCGCCCACATTGGGTGAAACACGATGTATATTCTCAAGTGTATCCATTACTAATTGAGTTATTGAGGACTGGTACAATTAAGTCCATTGTGGAAAGTTGGAGTAGAGGCTGTACAACAGTGGTTTTGAATCTGTAGTGTTACTGCTGTTTCATAGGTGATTATGGTATTTAGGATTTTGGTGTATTTTTTTTCCCAGTGTGTAGAATTTTACTGTTAACACAGGAAATCTAACCTTTCATGCAATGACCTTCTCCAGATATGCTGCATTAAAGTTGAGTAACTTGACCCCTGGCTTTTGCAAAGTGATTGAAGATTTAACGTAGCATTTGAATCTTCAAAAAAAACTTGGACAGGTTTTACTTTTCTAGTCCACAAAGGAAACCTGTATTTGCTATTATACAAATATGCTGAAAATGTAACATGTTATTTCTTTGTAATGGAATTTTTTTGCCTTTTTTGTTGTTTTTTTTGTTTGTTTTTGCTCGTGCATTAAATCAGAAGAGCATTGTTTGCACAAGCAGGAACTTAACACACTAACAAGAGTGCTGCATTTTGTGTTTCTTAGTCATGTAGTAAATATTTGTAAAATAAATGGGAATATTTTCAGTTACTCTGAACTTGTTTCCAAATACATTCGGTACATTTAAAGAGAGCAATATACATTTGAAGTCACCTTATTTTGTATTAAATTATAAATTTTTGAAAAAAAAAACCAAAACAAGTGGGTATTGTGGCACAGTAATTTTGTACTGGTATGAAATATATAGCTATTAAGCTATGGTTTTCCTTTCAACCCATTTGTTTCACCCTAATGCAAATCTGATTGTTTTTATTAGGTTGTATTTTTCTACATATGTATACAATTTCCAAATATTATGATTGGGTAAATTGCGAAATGTAAGCATTGACTTGATTCTGATATTTAGAATTTTGGAATAAAATACCTCTTAATCAACAGGAATTCTGTGTTTGGTTTTTGTTTTTTGTTTTTTTTTTTTAATCTGAGGTGTATTTTTTTAAATGCATTAATTCACCAGCAAATATTTTGTAGTATATGTTTGTAATATAAAGATATCTGCTCAATACAGAAAGATCACATTTACACAACTTTTACATTCTCAGCTCAAGTGGCACATATTAACCTTGAGTCAAAAAAATTTCTAATCACAAGCAAGAAAGAGGATCTATTCACAAATTATATTCTGCCATGAGAAAATTTGATTTCCGACAACAATTTTTTATATACTGCAAATTAACATTTTAGATTTTATAGCTGCCATATCACTGTAGAAAATGGTGACAGTTTGTCCTTTGGTTAGGAAAATTCCCAGAGACCTAGTGTTTCTTTTCTTGTTGTATTATTAGTCTAATTTGATTTTAGCATTACATTTTCTTTTTCTGATTTACAGTCATACCTTTGTGAGTGGGCTGGCAGTAATTATTTGGTGTCACAATAAAGGCATACATGTTTGTTACATTGCTAGAACACATATTTAGAAGTCTATTTTGATACTTTTGAACCCTTTAGAAAACCTCCAGTTAACCTGAAGAAAACTGTCCATGTCTTGAGGTTATTTATGTTTACACAACCCCACTGCCTCCACTGGAGCTGTGCTGCTTTACACTCTCTGGATTTCTGACTCCTTGCATACATGGATGATACTTTACTGCATGCTTTGATAATTAGTTTATAAATGAATTACTGATGCATTAATACTTTATGACATATTACTACATTAATGTTTTTAAATTGCCAGTTCAAGAACTTTTAAGAACACAGAGAACAACTGAAAATATGTTTTTTTAAGTATTTGTATGAACTTATCATCAATATATTGTGTCTTACAAAGAATTAAGGTCAGTGCTGCCAGCCCATCTGAGTAGCCTTGAAAGACTGCAGGAGTTACTGCTGGACATAATTCCTCTGGGAAATACTCAGGTAGTTGAAATAAATTCCTTACTATCAGCTTTCATCTCTTTTTCAAAGAAAAGTTGGTTAAGAAAATATAATCTTGATTATATTTTTGCTGGAATGAGTGTTATTTTGTCCTCTAGTTTTTCTTTGTAATCGATCTAGATATAGTACAAACAATTAATTTCCACATGTGTTATTCCCCCTTTTGGAGCCATTTGCAAGAGAGCTTTTATGAAACATTTAACAGACTATTTTTTTTCCTCCCAGACCTTTATAAATGAATAATTGCTCATATTCATGTCATCAACTTTAATTTAAAATGTTCCATCTGCCAAGTTGGTTCAACTATTCCTCTCAAAATAAGATTTTATCTTGTTAAAAGCCCAAGCCTGCAAACATTTGGAAGTGAACATGTATGTGATCCACCCTTTCTCAATACCACAGATACTCATCAGACAAATTCATAAAGAAAGGAAGCAAATTGCTCAAAGCATGAGCAAGTAGACCCTTTTCTTCCACCTGAGACCACACAATGTTGCAGGGAGTCCAAAATGACTTAATTGTAACAGTGGCTGTGCAGAAACAGAGGCTTTTTCTTTGCAGTGCCCAGATAAAAGGTTGAAATAGGAAGCTTGGTGAGAGGATGTTAATTAGGATGCTAATTCTATGTCAATCCCAAATTTATTTGAAGTAATTGTTAATGGCAATGAATGTATTACCTTGGACTTTACAGAATGACATTACATCATAAGGAAAAATACATTAGATTTTTTTTTTTTTTTAGATTTTATAACAGATGTGTTGGAAATATGCACGGTAACCTGGCAGTTTTTCCTTTCAGTATGGGAAAATCTATACTCCTCTATAGTTTGTAACTCTATTCCTCTTTTTTTCCCTGCAATGAAGAAATGTTCTGCGATCTAAAAACCACAGAATTCGGCCTAGTATGTTATTGTGGATAAAATTAAAAATTTTATTTGGCTAGCCTTTTCTTATTAAAGGCCAAATCAAGCGATCTTATACTTTTCAAAGAAGTTTATATTCACTGCTCAAACATACATGACAAATTTAGTATCACCCAGTTCTGTGACACTAACAGTCATCATAACTGTATTTGTATCTCCTAAAGCTTTGATTCTCCACACAGGCATCTCTTTACCTTATTTACATGTTTACTCCCGTTAACAGTCCTGATGTCAAACATTACACGTATTTTAGGACAGCGGGTGCACATGAGTAAAATCGGAGTGGGGGTATGTTCGTGAAGGCAAGTCCAGAGAAGAGCAATGAAGCTGGGGAAGGGTCTGGAGCACAAGGAGAGGCTGAGGGAGCTGGGGCTGTTCACCTGGAGAAGAGGAGGCTCAGGTGGGACCTCATCGCTCTCTACAACTCCCTGCCAGGAGGGTGCAGCCAGGTGGGCACCGGGCTCTGCTCCCGGGCGACAGGACGAGAGGACATAGTGTAAAGCTGCACCGGGGGAGGTTTAGGTTGGACGTTAGGAGGAATTTCTTCATGGAAAGGGTGATTAGACATTGGAACGGGCCGCCCGGGGAGGCGGAGGAGTCACCGTCCCTGGAGGTGTTTAAGGAAAGACTGGACAAGGTGGTGGTCGGTCACGGTTTGAACTTGATGACCTCGGAGGTCTTTTCCAACCTAACTCACTGTGTGATTCTCTGAATCGGCGGTTCAGTGACCGCCAGAGCGAAGGCGCTTTCCGAGCCGCCACCAGCAGCGCCGCCCAGACGACCACCAGGGCCGCCACACGCACCCTGCCCTCTTGCCAGCGCAAGCGCCGGACCGCCGCGAACGCCGCAAACCGCCCTCCCGGGGGGCTTGAAGGGAAACCGAACACGGTGGGCGCCCCCGCCACCCGGGGCGTGAGGCGGCCCCGACGCGGCCTCCCCTGCCCTGCCCTGCCCTCCCGGGCCCCGCCCGCCGCGGGCCCCGCCCGCGGCACGTCCGTGGGCGGAGCGGTTGCTGCCGCCGCCCCAGTGCGGTGCCCGCGGCCGCTCGGAGCCGCCGGAGCCGCGGGAGCCGCCCGGCCCCCCGCAATATGCCTCCGCTGCACCTGGGGCTGCTCGCCATGCCGGGCTTCGCTGCGGGCGCCTTCTCCCCGCTGCCCTCCCGGCGCTGGCGGCCGCGATTGCTGCTGCTGTTGCTGCGTGACGGGGCGGCCGCCCCCTTCCGAACCGCCGCCGCCGCCCCCCGCCGCAGCAGGCAGCGGGCGGCGCTTGCCCGGGGCAGCCCCCGCCCGCGGCCTCAGGTACCGGAATCCCCTCCTGCCCCCGTCCCACCCTCCCCGAGGGGATGGCCCCGATCTCCCCGCGGTCCTGCTCGCCCGCGGAACCGGGCGGGGGGCGGGCGGAGGTCCCGCAGCCCGGCATGGAGCGCTCGGGTTGGAGGGAGCGGGATCTCCGTCTTCGTGTGCCCCGCGGTGGGATGGTGCGGCCGGGGTGGCCGGGAATGGCCCCGGCGACCGGGCAGTGACCTGGATGGGGATGCGCCCTCGGGCGCCGGGAGAGTGGCCTCGAGTGATGGGGCTCCAGGGATTCCTGTTGGCTCGCAGCAAGGTGTCTGTGTGTACATAAATATATATAAAATATTAATATATTTGTTTCTATATATATTTATATCACTGTAAAAATAAACCATCTCGTACGCGTTCAAGCGTCTCGAGCCTGTCAAATGAGTGATGGGGCTGGTGAGCTCATTAGTTTTTGCATCCCTTCTGCGAAACAGAGAAATGCATCGTTTATCAAAGAGTATAAAAATAATGTGCTTACTTCAGTATTAGGCTTTAGTAATGTGGTCAAATACGTGAGGTTATCCGTTTGCATGACTGAAGCAAGTGATAAGGTGTCTGTTCTGTCACTTAGTTTAAAAAATATGTGTATATCCTGAAGTTTAGTGGCTCAAATTAGGATAAACCCAGTATTTTTCTTTCACTGAAGAATTTCAAGATGGTTTCAAACATGAATTATTTAAGACCTCTTAACACCAAGGCTCCGTTTGGGCATATCACTAGAGCATATGTTTCATTTTTAACATATATGCATACTCCTGTTTCCATTTCACTTCAAGAAGGTATAAAATGTGCTTAGCTTTAGGCAGATGGTTAATATTTTGCTGAATTTAAGCCAATTTGCAAAGCTGCCAAAGTATGTGTGTTAATTAGGAAATATAAGCAAAGATATTAAATTATGGTATTTGCCTGTAATTTCTTAAAGATTTAGAACAAGTAACTAGAATATGAACAGGCTTAATTTTTTCCTGATACACTCTTGAAATGCCTTCATTTGCTTATTGGTTTCTTTCTTGTGTAGGTTTGGGGTTTGGGGGGTTTGTTATTTTCTTTCTTTTCCGAAGAGTTAAAACTGTAGAACTTTGAAGAACACCTTGGGTCTTGTTTTTCCTTTTGAACTGTTGATTTCTCATCAGTTTGTTTCTTACCACGCTTTTAGTAGGATATACCATTAATCACCAGCAAACCCCACTTAAAAGGCATTGGCAGCATTTCTAAGTCGTACAGTGAACATTTTGCTCATTAAAAATTGAGAGGCAAGAAAAAAAAAAGGACATTTTTTTGTAATGCAATGATCCTCTTTGGTTTCAGGTATTGATTTCTATTTGAGAAGCTCTGTTCTCTCGTTGCCTTCAGCCCTGGCCAAAGTCTTTGTTGGTATCTAATGTTTTGATGTCATGCTATTGGTTTGCTGTTGTTGCTGTTGCAGACCCACGTGCCCCGTTGCTGCTGCTTTCTTTTATTTGCTTATTTTGCTTCATAGGTTGTGAGGTATGAGAGTCAAGAAGTATCTTACAGCACACAAGCTGTAATGATCGGTCTCAGTTTATGACTGTTAAAAATTACCACTCGAGTTGGCCGTGTTTGTTTGTTTGTTTGTTGTGCTTAAATACAGTTAAAGCTTTATTTCACTTGTTGGCTGGATTTCTAAATGATCTTGATTAATTTTTTCCATTATGAAAATCGAAAAAAAAAAAAGGAGCAATCTTTTAAAAAGATTAGCTAATTACTGCTATCGAAGGTT